CATGGCTTCTTATGTCTAACTCTAACATGACCCATGGCTTCTTATGTCTAACAGGTTATTACGGCTGCCCTAGATAGATAATCCTTCTTTAACTTCCCTTTTATTTATGAAAAAAAAAAATTGGCTTTTTTTAGCCTTTGAAGCAATATTGTATTTTTCCTCAAAGGTGAACGATTCTTTCTTTTTTCTTCTTTTTTTTTCGAAATAAAGAAAATCGGAGATTTCACATTTAATTTTGATTTAAAATGCGCACTTTTCGTCGTGTTTCACAAAAATTAGTTTTTCCTGAAAATCATCAATATACCCTCGGTATTTTTTGAGAAATTTCAACAAAAATTACATTATTATATGATTGATTTAGAAACATACTCTTGATGTATGCTTTTCATCAAATCTCGCAATAACGTAATATTTTGGAAAAACGTGGGACCTATTCGTCCATCTCGGCTGTTCCATCCTCTAAAGCAAATTGAAATAAATAAATCTCAAAGCCAACCCTTATCATTCATTTACTTATCAAGCTTTCTCTTAAACTCTCTTAAATTTACTGCCTCCACAGCATCTGAAGGGAACCCATTTCTAAGGATAACCACCTGTTAGAGAAATAAAAATGTCTTAACTGAAGATGACTCCTACCCTGCCAAAATTTATATTTGTTCTCTAGTCCTACTATCCTCACTGTTAAATGTGAAAAAAAAATGATTCATCAACACAATCAATTCCTTTACAATCTTAAACACATCAATCAAAATCTTCCCCGTGCTCTACTCTTTTTTTCAAGAGAAAACAATCTGAGAAGTTTCAACCTCTCCTCATATGACAACCTTCTACCCCAATCTAGTAATCCCTTCTCTGTACCCTTTCCAACAATTCAGTGTCTTTCATAAGGTAAAGAGCCCAAGACTGGACACAATATTCCTAATGTGATCTAACCAGTGACCTATACAATGAAATTATATCATCTTTAGACTTGTGTTCAATATTTCTACATATAAACCTAAAATCCTATTTGCCCTACCACCAGCAACAGCACATTGCTTGGATAGCTTTAGAAACTGACTGACTATTACACCAAGATCCTTTATTTTCATAACACTGTTAAAATTATTCCTAACCTAATTAAACTCCGGAGTTCTAATTATGATAACCCACATGCATTATCTTGCATTTATTATAATTAAAACCCATGTGCTTTTTATTCGCCAAACTCATTAAATGATCTAAATCAATCTTTTTGTAAATCAGCAGCATCCTCTTCACTGCTAGCAACACCCAAGACCTTAATATTTACAGTAATATTTGTAAGAAAATATTTGTGTATCATCTTAATGTACCATAAATTTTGAAATGCTGTTAAAGAAGTCCAAGTTTACACAATTCTGCAAAGAAAAAAAAACCCCACATATTGCAAGTAAGTTCTTCTTTGCTGAGATATGGCTTATACTGTTTGCACAGAAAATATCTGTGAACCTGACAGAATTCTGTATTCCACAGAAACAAATGCATGGTTGGTTCATCCTCAAAGCATTGTAAACAGTATTATTGTACAAAAAAAGTTTTATTTCGATTCGAAGGAATGGTGCTCCCATGATTCATTGCTGACTTCTAAATGTTATAGATATTTGGTAAAAAACCATATATCTATATAAGTTATTCCAGTTACAATGTTTAAATAAGATCCATTACAAATTTGACATTGTTTTTATGGCACTGAATTGTTGAGGTTCACGTGCACCTAATGACATACTACATTTTATCTGTAGTCAAGAAGGGCAAAGTTGATTTTCATCAGTTACATTTCACATTGTGTCTGTATCACTTGTTCATTTTTGCCTCATGGTAAGTATTTCTAAAAGTGATTAAATTGAATGTAATGATGATATCACCTATCAATGTTCCTACAGATTATTTTTTGAAGATGGTAAAATCACGCTGTAAGTAACATAAAAAAAACAATATATTAATTTTATATTCACGTGTAATCTGTGTTGGAACAAATTGTAAACTTGACGTTTGTAGAAGTCAGTTTTTATACATGTACTATCATTATAGTGCATACTCAAGGTTATGTTTGCATTGAAACAAGTTTTTCGTCTCATCAGAGCTTACCTGTACATACATTTTATAAGGTATCAACATGTACGATGTACACACATTGTAGAAACTTCTTTATTGTTGTATTATCAAACGGTCTGCATCGTCTAGGAAATAAAATCTTTACAATTTATACTTGTTGTACATGTAAACTCAAAATATTGTTTTTATAAATAATATTCCTCATGGATTAAGCAAGAAATATTAGTAAGGTCAGAAACAGTTAAAAAAAACTGAAAACTTTTCGAACTTCGTGAGTTTACAATGAGAATTTGCAGATAAAATTCTTTAATTTTGTTAGCTGACCCTTAAAAAAATGATAAGGTCCATAGGTTTACATGTTAAATATTTTCTTGGGAATGTTGATATACATAGTGCATGTGGGGTGTAGATGTTTTAGAAAGTAAGTTTTCTCTCAGTCTGTATTATATTTGACATCTAATGATAGTGTATAAGGTGCCATGTGTTTTGTATTGCTAACTAACAATGTCATCCTTTCCACGACCTGTCAGTAAAACTACAAAATTGTGCTTTATTATATCATAAAAAGAATGTAATAATTCCTACAGCTTCTGCATTGCATTATAGGTTATGCCTAATTCCCTTTTTACTTGTAGAATAGTTTCTGAAAACATTACCATCTTGTTTGTCATAAAACAGAAATAGCTATCTGTGTTTTCAATTTATAACCAACTTTGTATTTCACTCTCCACGAGGCATTTCGTGCAGATTTTGTGATGTTTATTGTGCATGTCCAGTAGTGCAGTATTGGTATTCAAATGTTACTTCAAGATGTATGTTATGTGAGAGTCGTGTGTCAGATAGTGTAATATTTAATATTGAGGTTTAAGTGTTTCGCACCTTTCATTTCTTAATGAAAATGTATCCAAGCCTGGCACGTAAGTATATATTTGTGTTAGGAATGTGTTTTGTTTGTGAATTTATTTTAATATTTCTTGAAATATTGGAGGAAAGTAGGCTGTCACACAAATATAAATAAGGCATGTGTAGGGCTGAGACACTTGTATAAAATATTGCTAATATCAAAGGTATGCAACTGAATAATCAGTGTATTTTAATTATTAAAAGCTATTTTATGACATACTTCTAGCTAGACCAGTAAATTAACATTATTACATTAAGTAGTGTATGAATTTTTAGTACATGCAAGTTCTATAGCTTGCTTCGATCAAAGCTTAATGATAATGTAGCACGTTGTACTACGATCTAAAAGTTCTCAATGAGAAGAAACATTGCTGAAAAATAGATCTTGTTGTATTTGTTACCCATAATATTCTTATTCCCATTTTGAAAATATTTCTCATATGGAGTCTACAATAGATTCTTCTCTACCATCATGGTTAGTCGATTGAATAGTTTGCCTTCCGATGTGGTATAATCTGCAACGTCGAAGAAGTTTGAGAGGAGATTGGATGAGTGTTTCAGAGGTCAGGGTTGAATGTTAAAAAGGGGGTTTCTCTTTGTAAGTAGGAGTAGGATTGTAGTAGAAAATGACATATACTTAGATAGACCAAATTTCCCGTTATCTTTTAAATGTGAAAAAAAAGTTATATATCATTTCCTAATTTAGTGCTTTTTATTTTTATCCTGTTTCTGCAACTTAATATCAAAACAAACTTACAGGAACCACAATTACAATATTATCAACATTATTTTTCTATACTTGTAGGTTATTTATTTTGCCTAGATAAGAACAAAAATATTACAGTGGGTTATTACATATACAGTGTATGTAAGTTTTTGGTACTATATTATATATACAAAATAGCTTTAAAAAAGAAACAGACATACTATGTGAGCATGAGTATTGGATAACTGTTTAATGTATGTTACAGTATTTTTACATCTTTACTCTGCATGGAATCTGTAGTGTAAATTTTTTGTTTACTTACAAAATGTTTTGCTTTTATGAATGTTTTAAGTAAAGATCTGAAATGTTTTTACAGTACTGTGAATCAATGCGGAGAACTCTGCTTGGAGTTAGTGTCATCATGGCATCCTTCAGTGATGTGTACCAGAGGGGTGGAGGAGCTTTGTCGCATGCAGCAGCATCAATAGTTTATGGCACAAAGTATGCTTTTAACCCTGAGGCTCGAGCCCAGCAGATTGTCCAAGTAGCACAGAATGCTTCTGTGGGATTTGTTAAAGCATTTTGGAGCTTGAGTGAAACTCATTTGATGAAGGTGAGTTTGGTTAATACACACTTTTTTTATTTGTGTAAATGAACACATATCAGTACATCTGTCTTTGATTTGAAATTTATTCTCCTATAAACTAAAGTAGAATTTAAAAAACTTGACAATCTCTAGCTATTATTGTGCTGTTAATACTGTTTCATATTATCAAGTAAAGTTGTGAGAGACAGCAACTATGTCACTTAAATGAAACTTGCTGATTTACTTTTGGTCTGCTTTTATGGTCCTTGTTCTTCATTTCTTGCTATTCTGTTTCTTCTCGTACACTCTCTCAATACGTCCATTCACATTTTCTTTGGTCTTGTCCTTTTTCCTTCTGCTGTTATATTTATAATTATCTTACCAAGTGTGTTGGTAGGGAAAGTTGTATGTTTTGTTATTGTGGAGAATCTCAGTTGGGTGAATTCCTTGAAAGTTTTCTGTAATTTTCAAGCTGTTAGTGGAAATATCTGTAGCATTTTAGGATTGGTACGTTAGTGTATAGGTCAAATACTTTGAAGCTGATCATCATTTCCTAAGAGGTTATCCTGTTTGTTTTTTTCCTATAATTCCCCAAAGTGGACTGAAGCATTAACAAGAGAGATGATTCTTCAGTTAATGATGATATTATATCTACAGGATATTTATTTTTCCATCAGATCACATGCAGTCTTCTTGATGATCCCACAAGTACAAAATATCTAGTTAATTTTCACAGTTTTCCCATTATTCATTGGTAAAAGAGTAGTCCAAGAGTTAGTGGTAGGTGGTGATGACTAGCTGCCTTCCTTCTAGTCTTTCACTGCTAAATTAGGAACGGCTAGCGCAGATAGCCATCGTGTAGCTTTGCATGAAATTCAAAAACAAACATTGACTGTGTTAAGCAACTCATGAAATTTTCCATTACTGCTAAATAATGTTCAGTGTATACAAACATAATGGGTGACCGATGAATAAATTAATTTGTGTAATTCTGTTTCCAACATTATTTCTCCGAATTAACAGCAAAAGGAGGTGAGAATACAGTAATTATTAGTATATTTGGAGCACAAGAAAAATGTGATTGATGGAAGGTATGGACATACCAGCTTCACAATGAAGAGCCTGTAATGGAAAACATGCTTGTTTGTTCCAAACGTTTTGCAAACGGTGACTTCTTACTTCCAGGTAAATATCTAACAAGGAAAATATTATTATAAATTATTGTTAAGAAAATATGCAAAGCTCATAAGTATATTATAAGTTTTATGTTGGTGTAGTAGATATGATGAAATTTAGGTTATAGGATACAACTGAAAGCTGTCAAAACTTTGAAAATCAATAAGCAAAAAAGAAAAAAAAAAACAGTTATAAACAAGGGTTAAACTGTAGTGTATTTTTTAAAGAAATCACACAAATCATAGTTAAATGATAAATTTAACTATTTTTTTTTTCAAATTCTTCTTGATTTGTACATTATAAAATAGATATCAGAGAAATGTCAAAATAAATTTATAATACTTTTTATGTGTAACCATGAGGCGATTTTTCAAGAAAATATCAAACAGTTAGTTTTATCTTCTAATGTGATATGTACTCTATTAGGCTTAGATTATCAGATTAAAAGTTTAGGCTACTTAGCCTATATTATAATATGTTTGATCATGTTGTGATATACTTGTACAGTTCTCTCTTTACCTTATGATATTAGCATGTGTAAATTGTGTATGCAGTAAAATACTTTTACTTTGATTTTTTATTTCTTTATTCATAAAGACCTCAGCTGAAAAAATACAACGTGGAAACTTGCCTAAACTCCCTGGAAAATGAATTTGACAAATCAAGGAAGACACATTGTTAGAAAAGCTAGCTAACCAACAGCTTCGCTTGGAGGTTAGAAATCGTTATTTAATTTATTGGGGTACGTTATTTTACACAAGATACATATTGGTGATACTATTGAGATATACTATTAGGCCTAGTGTGTTTTTTTTTTAAGTCTTTGATAATGCATTATATGATTTTTTTTTTCTCAATATAGAAAGAGGACTTCTATTAAAGATATGAATGACTTTAATGAAGAAGTACATGCTGTTGCAACACTCTTGTATTATCACAAAATAAAAATGTGGAAGTTGCATAAAAATCAACTGTAACCAGCAAAGAGTTGGAATGGAATTAGTATCCAAGTGGATAGTGGCTATAAAAAAGATTAAAAACTCTGAAACGAGGGTTTGTAGTGGGATTTTATGACATCTCTTTTGTATATATTGGATACCTTTGAAGTATTTAATGCAGTCATTATGTTGTATTTACAGCTCATTTTGATGGAATTTCAACAACTTACAGGAACATCTTCAAATTAATACCGGACGTACAAAGAACATAATCCACTGGTTCTCTGCAGAAGTTATTTCTGTTGACATACACAAATGTATCAATAAGTACAGAAAGGTTAGGGCTGTATTAGATTGTGCAGAGCTTAGGGTTCAAAGGCTCTAAGCATCTTAAATATAGGCTTATGATACTCATATTAGAAAGGAAATAACACAATTAAATAATTACTTGTTGTTACACCAGAAGGTACAACAAGTAGTAAAGAGGTGAAGAATCAGATAGGGCCAGTATTCGCTTTTAATGAATAAATAGAAAAATCAGATACATTTACATATGACATTATGGTTAATAAAGACTTTTTATTACAGCAAATAAAGAGGTGAAGAATCAGATAGGGCCAGTATTCATGTATAATGAATAAATAGAAAAATCAGATACATTTACATATGACGTCATGGCTAATAAAGACTTTTTATTACAGCAAGTAAAGAGGTTAAGAATCAGATAGGGCCAGTATTCGTTTTTAATGAATAAATAGAAAAATCAGATACATTTACATATGACGTCATGGTTAATAAAGACTTTTATTACAGCAAGTAAAGAGGTGAAGAATCAGATAGGGCCAGTATTCGCTTTTAATGAATAAATAGAAAAATCAGATACATTTACATATGACGTCATGGTTAATAAAGACTTTTTATTACAGCAGTGAGTACTGAATATGGAATAGGTGTAATTAATCAACAGTTTCATAGTAAAAGTTGTCAGTTTTCAATGTCTAATGCTGAAAGTGCAAGAAACACAACTAAAGACTGTGTGGAGATTAAATAAATAATTTATTCAAAATAGCTAGTGGCAAGTTACAGTAAGATTTGTAAAATAATTGTTACAGTTACTTATCTGTTGTTCTGTTATTGTCCTTTTTGTTTTTTGCACTTACATGGTTCTGCAATTTTTGATGTACACTGGAACATCATCATCATCCTAATTAATATTTTAATTGCCATGGCATTTAATTTACCTATCAGATGACAATATGTTTGTAGAGTTGATGATGGTAAACTTCACGTATTCTTGCTGATGATAAATTCCGAAGATTGTATAACATCTTCCGAAATAAAACCATTTTTATTGCATTACATGTACTTCAGGTTGATTTATTGATAGAACCACAACACCTACACAAAGCACTTGTTTCACACTATAAGGCAACTAAGAGGTATATCTGATTTATGAAAAATTATTTTTATTTGACAACAAATATTGTCACTAGGCACTTTACAGTAAATAATGGAATAATATCTACATCTTACACTATTATCTTGCTACCATTTAACCTGTTAAATTTATTTGGAAGAATTTAATCACTCTTTAAGGCATTTTATTACTATTTTTATGCTTTTGTTTTATTTTTTCACTGATCTTTTATTTATGAATGTAATGTAAGAAGGAAGAGAGAGAAAACCAAGTTTTCTGCTTAGTCAGAAGTATATTAATAAATTTATAAACAAAACTAACTCTTACTTCTATGGATTAATCATGAGAAGCAAATATAACAAAATCACAATGCTTAAAGTTCAGTCGTACCATATCTAATTGTATTGGCCCTTGATACTGTATGTAATTGTATTGGCCCTTAATACTGTATCTAATTGTATTGGCCCTTGATACTGTATGTAATTGTACTGGCCCTTGATACTGTATCTAATTGTACTGGCCCTTAATAACATATCTAATTGTACTGGCCCTTGATACTGTATCTAATTGTACTGGCCCTTAATACTGTATCTAATTGTACTGGCCCTTAATAACATATCTAATTGTACTGGCCCTTGATACTGTATCTAATTGTACTGGCCCTTAATACTGTATCTAATTGTACTGGCCATTAATACTGTATCTAATTGTACTGGCCCTTAATAACATATCTAATTGTACTGGCCCTTGATATTGCATCTAATTGTACTGGCCCTTGATACTGTATCTAATTGTACTGGCCCTTGATACTGTATCTAATTGTACTGGCCCTTAATATTGTATCTAATTATACTGGCCCTTAATATTGTATGTAATTGTACTGGCCCTTGATACTGTATCTAATTGTATTGGCCCTTGATACTGTATCTAATTGTACTGGCCCTTGATACTGTATCTAATTGTGCTGGCCCTTAATACTGTATCTAATTGTACTGGCCCTTAATACCGTACCTAACGGTACTGGCCATTAATACTGATACTCAGATTTACTTTTCATATATTCCGCTAGTATACAAAGGAACTTTTTAGTGGCCATATTACTGAAAAAATGTGGGAAAAATACTAGGTATTATATTAAAAACACTCAGTAATCAGGTTTATTTTTTTTAAATTTTTTTTCTTGTGAGTCTTTAAAATATTATTGCTTCCATTGTAGAATACTAACACCATTTTAGTAACAATAGTTGTCAGTTTCCTTTTACCAGAACTGAATCAGGACAAAAAGCTTGAATATCATTCTGGCTTTCTTGAGGAAATAACTCAGCAAGGTTAGTGAATCATGGGTGTTTGCATGAGAGAAGTTTTCTAATGGGGTGTAATATTTGAGAATAGGACATTTTTTTAAAATTCCTTAATGAAGGTATCAAGGTCAATAATTTCAACACCTCCATTTTGTATTTCTAAATATGTTATGGTATGAGGGCTTTGTGTGAGGTATTCACTGGTTTGTAAATACACAGTTATAAGATCTCTGATTTATTAACAGTTTATTTCTCATTCTACATGGAATAACTAATCCATCATTCAAAATAGCCTCATATTAACGTAAGATACTAGTATCGTTAATTGCTTCCAAATATTTAAATGTTTCACAAAATGCAAGGTTATTCACCAGTCTTTTTGTCTGTGATATTTGGGGATTTTATCGATTGAACCCCATATTTAATGTTAATTCAGAATCTTAGTCCATTAGACGTATGGGTAATTTGTGAGAACATATATTCTTCTTTCTTTCATTATTCAAAAAAAATTTTAAGTGTAAATTTCAGTTGTGTCCAAACAGTTGTACGAAATAAGATAGTGTACGTCTTTAGGTCTGTGATTTTCACGCATATTCAAAGAAATTAATGAACAGGAAGTTAAGAAGTACATGTTGTGGTTTGTAAGTGTTGTACCATAAGATAGATAACATGTAGATATTAATAGAAGCCCAAAATTAAATAGAATTGTGGGTTGGTGAAAGTAAAGGCATTGATCGTGTCGTCATAATTCAAATCCATGTACTTTGATTTAAAATTAGTATTACATCATGATACTACTGTAAGAGGAGAACCTCAAGGAATTGTTCTTGGTACGATTATAGATAATGAGTTTTATGTTGGTCCTGTATTTTATACCTAAGTTTAAGTTTCATATGAACTTTGAAAACCAATATCTTTTATCCCATATATAGATAATGAGTTTTATGTTGGTCCTGTATTTTATACATAAGTTTAAATTTCATATGCACTTTCAAAACCAATATCTTTTATTCGCTTGCCAAAGAAAGTTTTTACTTTTTTTACCAGTGTCATGACTTATCACTTGGCCATTCCCTGCTGTAATTACTGCTATGTAGGACTCAGCTACACTGAAATATAAATATTTACTATTTTCTGTAACTTGCTGTTCACATGGTATCAAAATCTGAGGACCTTGTTCCTGTAAACTTTTGGTTACTCATTTATATTGTAAAGAAATGCCCATTCTTGGTTTTGCAGGTCATCTCATTTTGTCTTTTGTTTTTATGTACATTAGGAGGTATTTTCTGTGATATTTTTTTCTGGGGTGGAGTATTTTATTTGATGAATGATGTGGCACAGGGCATTCAAGTACTGAAGGTACGGTATTTCTATAAACATGTTTCGATAAAAAGGTTAGAAAAAATGACCTTAATACTCCAGATAATTATAAAATAACTTTTTATTTTAGCCAACATTTCACCTTTCATCAACGTTAGTACATACAATTGTTTGATATTAGATTATTTGTTAAAAAATCTATTCTATAGACATGGTCTAGTTGTATTCCCCAAGTATTTTTAATACTGTATCAAGAATGGTAGTTTTATGGGTACCTAGGTTTTTCATACCAAAATTCATCTTGAAATAAAACACTCAAATCTGTAAAGAAAAACCTAGGGTGTGTGTGGATTGAGTTTAGGGGGAACTTCTCCCCTGCACTGTGGAAAGAAAACCATTGGTTAATGATGACAAATGTATAATGAAACAGGAGTCTTAATTCTGATATTAATATATATATTTAGTTAGAAAATTGTTTTATTTTATTTGTGCTTTAAGATAATTTGTAGATACCTATTGCATGCGTAAAGTTGAAACCAAATGTAGATAAAACTTAATTTTCTGTAAGGTTGCTTTTAATAATTTATTACATCACCCTTTTACAGCATTAAATAAAAATATTTGATTGTGTTGGAATTCATATTTGAATCCATTGGTAGTAACTCCTTTTCGTCTGTGTATATAGTTACATGTACGATTGAACATTTTATTTATTTGTTATGCTAATTGCAATGTGTGTTTTTCCAAGAAACGACATATATATATATATATATATATTTTGATGTTTCGGTATTAATTACAGAAAATAATATAAACTTTGCAAGTAAATTATCATCTCAAAATAAAAATATTAGTAAGACATATAGTTAACAGAAACAATAATGTCTTTGTAATGCTGTATTTCAGAGGGTTCCAACTTGGTTGTGTCCTACTCCAGCTGTGAAGGAGGAGATTTTTATTCCTGCTGAACCTCTTGTCCTAAATAAACTAAATGGTCATGATAAAGTAGAAATCTCAGCACCTCATTCTCACATTCCACCCGCACCTGTTAGGTGTGTACTGATATCTCATCGATTAAGGGAAGGACAGGTATAATATTTCACCTGCTTACAGAGAGTGACTACTACTCCCACCCCTCTCAATAAGTGCAAGTTGTTTTACCCCTACATTGTAAACAGAAGTCCATTCAGATTTATTTTATCAGATTTTTATATCCTTTCCTTTTATTTTACAATTGTTTGAATAAGTTTTTCAATAGTTTACCTTTATTATATATTTTGAATAAATTATTAATATTTTGTTTTTTTCCCAAAGCTTGTATTTTTTGGTGTTAGTTGTGTTATTTTTGTCTTTATTTCTTACAGTAAGTAATCAGATATCTATTAAAAAAACAAAACATTAATTACGAAATAAACCTTTACCTATGTGTATGTATCATAATGATCAAGCAATATTTTATGATTTATGGGGGTTATTCATCTGTATGTACATGTTTCAGTATTTCCAGCCAATATGAAATGCTTTAGAACTGTTTTTCCATTGCTTATTAAACACTTTCCATGGATTCTGATTGAAAAATATTGGTTGCAGAATGAGCTGTTTATTGAGTATTCTGTCAGTATTGTACATTTGTAGGAAAATAGTGTTAGGCCTGTAGGGTTGGTTTGTCATGTCAAATTGTTTTAATGAGCTGTGTGTGTTTGTGTGTGCAAGAAACACTTTGATTTAAAATGAAAGATGGAGAAGACCTACAAGAAAAGTTATACACTCTAGCAAGTTAGCAGAACAATGTTGCCAAATAAATTAAATTTTTTATTCTTTAATAAACCATTTGTAAGAAACTACAAATATAACTTTATCATTAAAGTAAATTGTCATATGTTTAACACCAGTTACTCAAGTTGATTAATTTATCCTTTTAGACACAGCGTGAACATTTTAAGTTCAGCAGAATGCCGTTTTATTAAGTTACTACAAAATTACTAAAGTTATACATAACAATATAACCTCTATCAAATTCGATGACGAGGAACCCACTTTGAGACTAATAATGGCTGGAGACGGCTTAAA